TAAAAAAACATTTAAATTATAACTACTGTCATATTTCCAACCTAATCCAATAAAATGACTTGGTAAGCTAACAAGAGGAACATGAGGGGATTCAACATTGATGAACATCAAACTGCAGCTATAAAGATAAAAAAAAAATTTAAAAAAACAATAACTTATCAAAATTCACAAAAACTAGCATCTCAGTACAATGGTCCTTTCCAAAGTGTGGAAAAGATTGTTTCACATGTCGCAATTGAAGAAATAGTTGGGAAACAAAGAGGTATAACCCCAAAAAAATCAAAACATACAGCTCGAAACAACGTCATATCAACAAAAAGACAACCCTCCACACTAAGGTTGTCAAAAACGTTTTTTTGACACGACACGGAACATATAATATAAACTCGACTCTTAAACTAGAATTGTAAAATCGAAAAATCAAAAGTAAAATATTTTAACTAAAAATCATAAAATCACAAGTAAAATATTTTTTAAAAAATATAAATATCCAAACATCTTAAAATACATAATTCAAATAAAAGTAAAATAAACAATACAAATATATCTTAAAATACATAATTCAAATAAAAATTCATACATGTCCATAGTATTTCAGTAACTAAAAGTTAACACACCTAAAACAAACAGTCTGCAGGTGTGTCATGTAAACTAAACATATCTTCATTGCCTTTGTCTCCCTTATTATTCCTAAAACAGTCATCAAAATCATTACCATCTAAAGGATTACTACTGCTACTACTAGTATCAACACCGATATTAGAAACATTAGTGCTACTACTAGTACCAAGACCAACACCAATATTGTCAACAATATTTAAATCCAAGTTCCTTGAATTATTTGGATTGACATCATTTTGAATCTCTAAATCATCTTCAGTTCCATGACAATCCATTCCAACATCATTAAGATTTTCTTCATCATCACTTTCATCTTCTTTATTGTTTTTCCTTTGTGTAGCACTATCAATGACACCAAGCAAATCAAAGGGAGATGAACCATCATATTTCTCTCCCTTGGTTATCCAATCATCATCAGATGAGAGATGATCAAAAACTTCACGAAAATCATTAGCTTGCCTTTTGACTTGGTTATCATTTAATTTTAGATTGCACATTACAAATACCAAGTTATTCATTTTTTTCTGGTGTAAATGATTTCTTCGTTTTGTATGAACCTATGTAAGTAATTCAAATTAATACATATAAGGTTATTATAAAATATAAAAACATTAAAAGGAAAAAGGAAAAAACTTACCATCTCAAATGCACTCCAGTTTCGCTCGCATCCAAATGAACTACAAGTCAAACTTAAAACTCGAATTGTAAATTTTTATAGCTCTGGACATTCATCCCTATAAGAATCCCACCATTTACTTAGAGTCTTTTTATCCCTTGTTATCTTAGCAGCCTCAATACCGAACAACCCACTTGTATCCTTGAATGAATCAAGTTGCAAGTCAATTTTACAGCTTTTACTTGCATCGAGCACCATCCTTTCTAAGCATTGATATAATCCAATTTTAATGTTGGCATTAACTTTAAAATTAGAATTATAATGATAATGAGGATTCAAATAATATGTTGCTGCATGTAAAGGTCTGTGAAGTTGAAGTTCCCATCTTAAATCAATGATATTCCATATAGGCATATAACTACAAAATAAAAATAAGAATATTATCATCAACATTACATGACCTAGCTGGTAAACATTATAATCAACTGATTGTAGTAAATAAATAATTAGCAAGATATATAATCAATATCTTTTTTTTACAGAACTAAAATTCATTTGTATCTTCTCTTTTGCTTGATCCATTGCTTCATATATAAAACTCATAGCTGGTTTCTCATTTGAATCAACTAATCGAAGAACTTTTATTAGAGGATATGATGCCTTAATACATATAATAACATCTTGCCAAAACTTGTTCTCCAAAACACAACTTTGAATTCGCTTCCCTTCTTCTGTTTTTGAAAACCTACATGACCTCCATTAGATGGAAGTAAATATTGTCATCAACTGTATCTTGCAATCACTCAAACATCCAAGAGTTAAGTATACAGTAGCAAATCTAGTGGTAGTAAGCCTAATCAAATCCTTTCCTTTTATAAAGTGTCTGAACATATAAATAAGAATAGTTCTTGAATATATGTATGAGATGATTCTCCTCCCATTAGCAATAATTACTTGAAGGAGCTCTAGTTTCTTCTCAAAATCCTCTAATATCAAGTCAATACAATGGGCAACACATAATGTCCAAAACAATCCTTTTTTTTTTCCTATTAACAATTGCCTTGCTGCCTTATAATTTGCAGTATTGTCAGTGACTACTTTCACCATATTTTCCTCTTCAATCCTCTCCACAATAACATCCAACATCTCAAATATTTTATCAATAGTCTTGGATATATTAGAGGTATTTATGAATGATAAAAAAATTATCCCTTTAGGACTATTAACCAAAAAGTTACAAATAGAAAGCGCTTTTTTATTAGTCCATTAATCAAACATTATTGAGCAACCTATTTTTTTTTCCATTCTAACTTGTACTCCTCAAGCAAGTTGATCATATGATCTACTTCTTGCTTCAAATACTTCTATTTAATATCATGGTAGGATGGAGGCTTACAACCTGGCCCAATCTTTGCAACCAATTCAAGTGCCTTAACAAATTCAGGGTTTTTCATATAGTTAAATGGAATTGTACTAGTATAGAAAAATCTTATAATTTATCGACATGCTTCTTCTTTAAGATCCTTTTTTAGCAATTGATTGATGGTAGTTTGTGTACTTCCACTCCTACTCACTACTCTCTTTTCTTTATCCACTGAGGTAATTTCATTCCCTTCATCATTATCTTCATCTTTTCTAATATATTGGAAAGCCTCTCTTTTTTTTTTCTCAGATGCTTCTTGATTTTTCACTAGAACATTCAAAATTATCTTCTTTACATCTTCTGGTACTTACTGGCATGGCTCAACATCCTTTCGAGTGCAAGCCGAATGATGCTTGAAACGGTAAATGCCTCCACTAATAATTTTCTAACAAAACTTGCACTACACTCCTTTTGAATTCTTGTCAACATCTATATCATATTACCATCCCATATCAAGTCTATTGCCACTTGTAGTTTTTTAGATGCCATGTATCCTACAGTTCAAGAATAATTTATTTCTTGCAGTTTAATCATTTGTTTAAGAATTACAAATATGCATGTTGTATTCGACAGTTTAATACATTTTTTATGGGAAACTATTCTAGTGAGACAAAAAAAGGTGACTATTCTAGTACCCTACAATTTAGTACATGTTGTAAATCAACAAGTGATATAACAAGGCTTTTTGAAAGTTATCAAAACCACTCTTGCTATAATGTTGGACATAATTAAGATTATACATTCACACACCACTCTTATGGGGAAAATTCAACCAAAGTCTTGACACCAATTAATATATCATTCATACTTAAGAAGATGGTCACAACAAGAATACAAGCTGCATGGATGTCATTTAAAGCTAGAAAAAATATAGTGTAAACCAAATATTACTAAATCAAAGTCTTGCAGGATGATATCATTTGAGAGATGCAGTCTGTATTAAATTACTTTCATTTTGTTTACCAATTTTCTTTTACCATTTAGATTCTAACAGGAGCTCATTTTAAAGCAACTAGACAACAAAATTATGAGAGAAACTAACTTAAAATTGCTTGATGCTTGCTAAAACATCTAAGACCCCAAATGTGCTGCAACATAAACCCCTAAACTCTTTATTTCACCGAGAACATATTTAGTTTGTTCACTGAATGTGGGGCAAGAGATATCGATGCTAGTTGCAGAAAGCTACATACAGGTCTTTATCAATTACTACCAAAAAAAGCTCTTATCACAAATGTTTCTTTTTTCTTTTGGAGTGCTTAATTCAAGCTCAAAAGCTTTAGACATCAGTGAATTAACAGTTTACTACAAAAGGCATTCTAAGACTACCTATCCAGTAATACACAAAAAGCCTAGATAAATTAAATGCAAAGGGCATTCCAAACAAGTGTATCAATTGCCTTAAAGTTTGTAGTTTTTGGATTTACAGAATACCTGCAATCTTGGAAATTGGAATGCTTCATCAGTTTGTTGCTTCCTTGCTTCCTTGCTTTGTTGAATCGTTATCTATGCAGATTACAGAACTATAGAATCTGCAAAAGCAAGTAAGATCAAATAGAGCATAAGTGAACATTAAAAGAAATTACAACACACAATAGTAAACCATTGTTAGAAAGCTTCACAAAAGATAAAAAAAGCTGCACATGAAATTACTAGCAGCAATACAACACCACTCCCCCTCTGAAAAAAATACCTAGAAGCAAACCACTTAATTGTAGAATACCCAAAAGATAAACATAGATTCATACCTAGATCATTTTTTGTCTCTAATCACCACCATTAGACAGAAAAAAAAAAAAACAAAGCTTGGGATTGTGAATCAATTCTTACCTTCGTCTCGCCAAGAATGCTCCAGATAGGGGGGAAAGTGATTTCTTAATTTGCCAGGGACAGGAAAAAGGAGAAGGGACTAAGGGAGTCGGGAGAGTGTGAGACAGAGAGGGTATGATTGGACAAAGTCTGGAATCAGGGAGAGTGTGAGACAAGGACGAAGTCATAGGTGGGGTGAGGGTGGTCGGGTGGGAATTGGAAAAGAAAAGAGATTAGTGCATTTCTAATTCTGCATTCGGTATTTCAGTGACATTTTGGTTAACTTGTGAAAATATAACGTTTTTAATGTTTTTTGTGAGTTGACGTGATTTTATGCTATTTTGAATTAGTTTTATGTGATTTTACTGATTTTTAAGTTTTGCATGTTTTATGGGTTTTAACTCATAAAATTGTAAAATTTTATGCATTTTTAACAACCATGCTCCACACAACAAAAAGAAAAAAGAAAAAATCCGAACGTACAACCCGAGACAGCGTCATATCAAATTCTCAACGCTATGAGCAAGCAATATACTTTACAAGTGCCACTCAGCAGTCGCTCTCTTAAACCCTAGCCGTTTCCTTCGTTTCACTCTCTACCAAGCCGAAACCCACCCTTCCCGTCATTTTTCTTCAAAGGTACAATCTTTACCCTCTTCGCTTAAACCCTAAATTTCGATTTCTTTTCTGTTTCCCTTTCTCATCATTAATTGAATGTACTGTTATGCTGGTGTTTTTATGTGAAAAGTTATTTTTTTTTATGATGCTTTGTGGATCATAGTTTGGTGAAGCAAAGTTTTGCTCTTTCTGTTTTGGTCTTGGATATTTTTTGTGTGTCTACCAAAGTGGGTCTCACGTTACTGGGGTTGTTTTCTTAAGTTTTTTTTTTAGATTTTGTTTGTGTTTTTTTGGTTTTGGGTTCTGTTCTGTTTTGTTTTCTTAGCCACATGATTGGTTCTTTATCGTGTTCATATAATTGATTTTTTCTGTTTTGATTTGTTTGTTATTAATTCTGTAGATTATTAATGATAACCTTTAGAGTTCTTTGTTGTTCTCTGTTTTTCACTGGTGCTGCTTATGGAGTGTGTGTGGTGTGACTGTAGGGTCAAACAATCTTTTAGAGTTTTAATCCTCTACTTTATCTTTCCGAGGGATTTTTGTGTTCTGAACAATATGTTTTGTGCTTTTAAGGCTTAGGTTTTGAGTTTTCTTTAATCAAAGCTACCTATTTGATCTCTTAATAAACAAGGAATCTAAAAATTGACCCCATTTTTTTTAGATTAATTTTTGAATGTTGCTTTGGGGGATGTTGCAAGATTGTGAATGGTTTGTTATGTTTTGAGTTTTTTGTTTTTGGTTGAATATTGTTAATGCTCGATACTGATGCAATGATGGGTTTTCGTTTAGTCCATAGTTGAAATGGCTTTCTTTAACAAGTTTGGGAGCCTAGTTAGGCAGTCAGTTTCCCAGAATGGGCAAGTTCCAACGGCATCTATGCTGAACTCTATTCGCTGCATGTCTTCATCAAAGCTTTTCGTTGGAGGTATTGATGTGTAGATGCTGTTTTAATGCTAGTATTGATGAATAAATGCTGTTTGAATGTTGGAAATCCATTTGCATTAATGCTCTGCTGTTGTCTATATCATCTCTTTTTTAGGGCTTGCATGGTCAACTGATGATCAATCCCTTAAGGATGCATTTTCTGGCTTTGGGGAAGTGACTGATGGTATGTTTTTGCATGTGTAGTTGAATCAGTTATTTAGCAAATGGTGCTTTTATTAAATCACACTGTTGAAATAAACATGGACACGATTTCTTTCTCTAGGTTACCTGCTGTCAAATGATTGCTGAGGCTGGTTGATTGTGTTCTTATTTGATGCATCTTTGAAATTAATGATTGACATTTTTATTTGTTATCATTCAATTTGGTGGTTTGAGTATTGCAAATCTTTGCCTGCTTGAACTGTAACCTCATTGGTAAATTGGTAATTGTTAACTATTGTTCATCCGCCCTTAGAATGACAAGTATCAATTTCTTGGAGTTGTCCTGTAACCTGTGGGTTTTACTTTAGTTCAAAAATGTGAATTGGTGCCAATGTGTGTTTACATGTGAAACGACTGTGGTCCGGTTCAGCTTGGTTATTAAATTCCAAAAATATATTATACTCCATGCCAAAGTTTTCCAAATCTGATTCTACTATGATATTTTCAGAAAGACGAAGTGTTTTTTGGTTGGATATTTTAGAGTTTTAACAATAGAATTTGTGATATTCTCACTATCCAAAGTTGTAGTGTTGTAGCTGTTGCAAAACAACCTTTACTTGGCTGGGTGAGCCTGTTGTTGTCAGTGTAGGTGATTAACAATCTGGTTTTGGTTTTGTTTTACAGCTAGAGTTATCACTGATAGAGACACTGGGAGGTCTCGTGGATTCGGGTTTGTTAGTTACGAAAGCACTGAATCTGCCAGTGAAGCATTGTCAGCGATGGATGGCCAGGTCAGAAATTTAGTGTTTTTGACGGGGTTAAGTGCCCTGATTCCTGAATGATATATTGATTGTTGCATGCTGATGGTGCAGGAATTGGGAGGAAGAAACATTCGTGTGAGTTATGCCACCGACAAGAGACAACCACAACCTTACAATAGCAATTACGGTGGGAATCCAGATTATTGAAGAGGTTGAGTTTCAGCTTTGCGGGCTGTTGAAATGGCTTTGCTTCTTTAGCTAGTTGTTACTAGTAAGAATTGAGATTGCTTTTTTATTTTCCTTGAATGAGTTTTCTATAACTTGCGATGTTATCTTGTTATTTTGACACTACCATGTGCTGGTTATTAATTAGTCCGACTGGGTAAGTTCTACGGTGGAGCTCCATCTGTTCATATTACGTTTTCATAGTTATGGAGTGAGGCATAGTCCGTCTCTTGTATGGTTGCTCTGATGTTTTGTGCCTCTGCTAGTCATCGAGTGAGGTGGTAGGCATGCACGAGCATTGTTTCTTCGTTTAACTGGGTGGTTATGAATTGTCAAACAAAAGGCAGTACCGTGCTTGCTACCTTGTCTAGGCAGAGGTGGTTCAGTCAGGAGCAAAGAGAAGAGCAGAGGAAACTGGAAAGCGACCGGGTCTGGTGGCCATATGGTGCTTTCAAGTCTTTTTTGGTTGTGCTGTGAATTGCCGAAAATTGCATGAAAACAAATTTGCCTTGTCAAGCCCATGGACCCGACATATCAGAATGGGAGACTGATGAACCGGATCCTAAGGAGTTATGTAATTACCCAAGATGTTGTAAAACCAATGAACGTTCATGGCTCCTTTTGGAATCCCGTCATACATGGCTGCTGCTATCAGCTCCATCGTTGATGTGTTCGATTTTTTAAAAAAAAAATGTGTTTTAGAAAGAAAAAAGATTTAATTGATGATTTTTTTAAAAAAACTTTCAATAGGATTAATACTTGAAAAAGATCTAAAAGAATTTAATTTTTTTATATATATGGCCCAAAAACCAATGCAATCTACAATTTCTATATTAAGCCACGCTGTTAATTAACAAAACCTAATTGGCTTTTGAAAAATTACCTAAACTCTGGGACCATTAACCATTTTCCTTATTCTTCACTCTAATAGTTTTTAAGAGCATATAAGTTTTCTTATTCATTTATTATTTTAGGTTGATCCAGAACAAATAAGTATTTTTTTTAAATTTAATTGCACAATAAAATAACCAAGTACTCTTGAAGTAGCAATTTAGTGTTTAATTAAATATAAAAAATAATAAACAATTAAAATGCATAATAAAATAATAACAAAAAAAAATCTTATAATAAAAAATATTTAAGATTGAGATCAATGAGTTTTTTTTTCTTTTTGATAATGATTTTTTATACTAAAAAAAGTCAATTAAAAAAAATAATTTTTTATAATAAAAAAATCAACAAAAAAATAAGGACATGTAAGTGTGGTATATCTAGAGATGTATGAGAGGTGCCCTCACCTTTTAGATGATATTTGCTGTGCTTTTTGATGTCTAACTATGCCTTTCTGTCATGCTGAAAAGTGTTATGTTATCATTTACTTATTTTTGATGATGGTCTGGTTTATTGTTGATAAATCATTTTAATTTATTTTCTTTCTATTAAAAATTTCAACCTATTCATCTTTGTTGTTGGTATTTTAATTTTAGTTTATATTATTTTGATTTTTCATTTTTTATCTTGGTTTTTTTTGTAAAAATTTTATTTACTTTCAATTTAATCCTTAAATCCCAATTTATCAAATACTATAGTCTTCAATTTAGTTCTCATTCTTTGGTTTTCTAGTTTTATTCTTTATGCACTAGCTTTTTTGTAAAAGTTTATTGGATTTCAGTTTCGATCTTTCAATTTAAGTAGTCTTCATTATTGTGATTTCTAATTTTTTTCTTAATTCTTTTGTAAAAGTTTTTTTTAATTTTATCCTTTAATTACAATATTATTTTTATTTTTATGTCAATTTTGAACCTTATTTTTTTATTCTTTTACTAAATTGATTTTTTTCAATTTCATCTTTTAATTAAATATAAAATTTATTTTGTATTTTGATTTTGATTCCCATTATTTTAATTGTTATTTTTTAAAATCCTTCTATATAATTAATTTTTTTTTTATCAATCTCATTTCTCAATATGATTAATTGAGAATTGAACTTATAATTTATTATGAATTAGACTTCATTGTTTTTTCAAATTTGATGTTTCGGTCTAATGAATCGAGTCATGGGTTTGAAAAGTTAATACGAGTTTTTTTTTATAGAAAAAACAATTTATAAATCTTTTTATTTTTTATTGGTCACATGATTTAGACCACGGGTTTGGTGGAATATCTCGAATTCGCTCAACCCTAATTAGCGTGGTTTGTCATGAACAATTTTTCTTCTTTTTTTTTTGCCAAATTTCAAAATTTAAACATCATTTTTTACACATAAAAAATTATCCAACCCCACGGTGAAATATGGGTGCTAAGGCTAGTTAATATATCAAGAGAATTGGGGTGATTGTCATGGCTTTTTTGTTTTCATTCAACACCTTTTTTTTGTTTTCATGTTTTTTTTTTAATTGAGTCTATTATCCAACCCCATGATGAAATATGGGCGCTGAGTCTAGTTAATATATTAAAAGAATTGGGGTGATTGTCATGATTTTTTTCCTTTCATTCAACACTTTTGGTTTTGTTTTCATGTTTTTTTTTTAATTTAATCTTTTTATGAACTAATTTCTTGTAATATGTTTTTAAATTGTGGTAGAAAGACAAAAACAAAGAAAAAAAGACAGGACCATAATGTAAACCTTGAAGAAAATGCATGACCAATCTCAAATTCACATAACAAATACTTTTTCATTCCACTTATTTTCCTTTCTCATCAAATTTAGTCCTTTAGTTTTTGAAATTCTAATTTTGATTAAAAAAAATTTATTTTTCAATCCTTAGATTTTTAAGAGGAGAGGGAAACTCATTTGAGAATGGGAAAGTATAAAGAAAGTTGTTTGTAGACCACATTCTAATCACACAAAAAGGTCATATTGGCATCAACGAGTTCTATTTAGCAAAATGTTCTTAAACCATCATCTTATAAAAAAAAATTTGGTATACAAAAAGTATACAAAGAGTATAAAGAAAGTTTGATTTTGTTTTTTTTTTCTTTTGAAATAATTTATGGTGTTTTGAGTTGAAAGATTGTTTTGTTAACATGATAAGCATGTTTATCAAGTGTTTTCATGTGAAATTAGGTTGAAAATGAATTCTTGGATTCAAAAAAACCCAAAATTGATTTGACTAACTATTTAGTTGTAAAAAAATTAGATAAGTAGATGACAAGTAGTCATCTTTTTTAAAAACAAAAATGGAAAACATGAAAAAAGAAAAAAGAAGAATTTTTTTCTAGTCTATTATTCATTATTATGAAAAAATATTTAGAGTTTTTTTTTTATATTTTGTGAGTTATGTTTTTCACTCCTTTTGCCAACACAAAAAAAGGCCTAAAATGCGAGTTTAGTTTTTGTGCATGGCCTTTTCATTAATAGGTTAGGAGCACTAGGCTTCCCAGGCCTAGACGTTTGGCCTATATATATTAGGTTTATTATGTATTTTTTAAATTAAATTTCATGAAAATAATAGCTTTGAAATATATTAAATATATTGATTTGAAAAATAAGATAACACATTAACAAAGCTTGAATATTTTGTATATTAAAAAACACTTAATTCAACCTGTATTGTAACTTAGAAGGCCTTTTCATTAATAGGTTAGAAGCACTAAGCCTAAGCCTCCCAGGCTTAGATGTCTGGCCTATATATATTAGGTTTAGTATGCATTTTTTAATTAAATTTCATGAAAATAATAGCTTTGAAATATATTAAATATATTGATTTTATGAATAAGATAACACATTAACAAAGCTTGAATATTTTGTATATTAAAGAAAAACTTAATTCAACTCGTTGCGTAACTTAGAAGTCCTTTTCATTAATAGGTTAGGAGCACTAGGCCTCTAAGGCCTAGACATCTAGCCTATATATATTAGGTTTATTATGCATTTTTAATTAAATTTCATCAAAATAATAGCTTTGAAATATATTAAATATATTGATTTTAAGAATAAGATAACACATTAACAAAGCTTGAATATTTTGTATATTAAAAAATAACTTAATTCAATCCGTAGTATAACTTAGAAACCATAATGTAGTTTATACACTAAATATACAAGGATTGGCCTTAAACCCAAGGTTTCTCATATCGTAAAGAAATCTTAACCATTTGCACTATTATGTTTTTTGGATTAAGCATAGTAGAGTATATATTAGCTCATTTATATAAAAACTAGCTCATTCTACACACAACACTATGGGTCGAGTAATGTTTTTTTAACATAAACTTTTTTTTCCAAGGATTAATTAAACTATATAGGGATCGACTTGATAAATTTAAAAACAACCTAAATTGTCCAAGATAATAACTCCCTCAAATTGAAAAATAGGTTACCATAATTTACAATAAAAAGAAATATGATATAGGAGATAGAAAAAGGAAAGAAATAAAGAAAAAGACTCTAGAAGCACCCCAAAACTTTGATAATAACACCACCAATATTTTTGAAAAAATCTTGACAAGATGTATTCAATGACAAAAAAAAAAATACCAACACCAAATGAAGGGGGCTACATAAGTAATTCAAATGTGTTGGGGATCACAAGGTTGCTTTGATTATTAAAAAAAAAAAGGTTAACTCAGGTTGACCATTCGAACCCATTACTTAGGCTTTGATTTGGGTTTACCTCTAATTTAAGTTTTAAAATTATGATAATAATCATTTTTATTCTTATCTTGATCTAAATAAAATTGGGTTGACTCTCCCAATCTATGAACCCAACCTCATCTTGGGTTAACTTCCTAGTCAAGTTTTAAAAATATGATAATAATTATTTTTATCTTTACATTAATCTAAATCAATCCAAATTAGCCTTTCTAGCCTTTAACCCAGGTATTGTCCCAAGTCGACTCCAAGTCATATTTGTAAACTATGATAATAATCATTATTATTTTACATTGACTAACTTAACTTGGGTTAACCCTTCCAACTTGTGACCCGGGTCTTATATCAAGTCAATCTCTACGTTAGATTTTAAAATTATAATAATAATCACTTTTATCCTTGTTGTGACTTGAAATAACCTAGGATGCCTCTTTTGACTTGTGACCTGAACCTTATCCTTAATTGATCTTTGAGTCCGGTTGCCACTCATCAATCAAATTGATAGGCCAATAACAAAGGTTTGGGTCTAAGAAAAAATAGAGAAAGTATTGACTCAATTTGACCTAAAAAACTTGAGTTAACTCGTGACCT